CCCCCCATTTATTTTATTGCATTTTAGGTTTTGGGGTACATGTGAAGAACATGCAAGATTGTTGCATAGGTACACACGTGGCAGTGTGATTTGCTGCCTTCCTCCCCATCACCTACATCTGGCATCTCTCCCCTTGTTATCTCTCCCTCTCCCCAGCTCCCCACCCCCCACCGTCCCTCCCCTGTTTCCCCCCAACTGACCCCAGTGTGTAGTGCTCCCCTCCCTGTGTCCATGTGTTCTCATTGTTCAATACCCGCCTATGAGTGAGAACATGTGGTGTTTGATCTTCTGCTCTTCTGTCAGTTTGCTGAGAATGATGTTTTCCAGGTTCATCCATGTCCCTACAAAGGACACGAACTCATCGTTTTTGATGACTGCATAATATTCCATGGTGTATATGTGCCACATTTTCGCTGTGCAGTCTATCATCGATGGGCATTTGGGTTGGTTCCAGGTCTTTGCTATTGTAAACAGTGCTGCAATGAACATTTGTGTGCACGTGTCCTTATAGTAGAACAATTTATAATCCTTTGGATATATACCCCCAGTAATGGGATTGCTGGGTCAAATGGAATTTCTATTTCTAGGTCCTTGAGGAATTGCCACAGTGTCTTCCACAATGGTTGAACTAATTTACACTCCCACCAACAGTGTAAAAGTGTTCCTCTTTCTGCACATCCTCTCCACCAGCATCTATTGTCTCCAGATTTTTTAATGATCGCCATTCTAACTGGTGTGAGATGGTATCTCAATGTTGTTTTGATTTGCATTTCTCTAATGACGAGTGATGATGAGCATTTTTTCATATGTTTGTTGGCCTCGTGTATGTCTTCTTTTGTAAAGTATCTGTTCATATCCTTTGCCCACTTTTGAATGGGCTTGTTTGTTTTTTTCTTGTTAATGTGTTTTAGTTCTTTGTAAATTCTGGATATCAGCCCTTTGTCAGATGGGTAAACTGCAAAAATTTTCTCACATTCTGTTGGTTGTTTTTTGAGATGGAGTCTCACTCTGTCGCCCAGGCTGGAGTGCAGTGGTGCTCTCTCGGCTTACTGCACCCTCTGCCTCCTGGGTTCAAGCGATTTTCTTGCCTCAGCCTCCCAAGTAGCTGGGATTACAGGCATGTACCACCTTGCCTGGCTCCTTTTTGTATTTTTAGTAGAGATGGGGTTTCACCATGTTGGCCAGGCTGGTCTCGAACTCCTGACCTCAGGTGATCTGCTTGCCTCGGCCTTCCAAAGTGCTGGGACTTACAGACATGAGCCACCACATCCGGTCTCCTTTGTAAATTTACCTGCTGTTGCTGTCTGCAAAATAGGTGCTCAATAAATACACTTGAATGAATGAATTCACTCATGTATTTGCTATGTTTGCTTTAAAGGTATTAATAAAACTAACATTTTATCTGAAGCCCCTGTAGATTCTGTCTTTCATATATTAGATGCTCAGAAAAATATTTAAGTATACTGATTTATTCCATCAATATTTTTCAAGCCTGTATTCTAGGCCAAGCCTCATGCTAAGAGCTCTGGGAAACATAAAATATAATAAAGGTGGATGCTACCCTTTAGAACTTAGGGTGTGAGATCACTAAGATGAATGCAGGGAAGAGCCTGCCAAGTTCCTTTAAAAATTTAGAAAAGGGGCCAGGTGCAGCGGCTCATGTTTGTAACCCCAACACTTTGGGAAGCTGAAGCGGGTGGATCACCTCGTGTTAGGAGTTTGAGTCCACCCTGGGCAAAATGGTGAAACCCTGTCTCTACTAAAAATACAAAAATTAGCCAGACATGGTGTCAGGTGCTTGTAATCCCAACAACTCAGGAGGCTGAGGCCAGAGAATCACTTGAACCCGGGAGGCGGAGACTGCAGTGAGCCGAGATCATGCTACTGCACTCCAGCCTGGGTGAGAAAGTGAGACTCCATCTCAAAAAAAAAAAAACTTTGAGGATTTGGGGGCGGGAGGTATCACATTCTGCTGAGGATGCTTAGTAGAGAAGGTGGCATTTGAGTAACTCCTGACGGATGGGAAGGCTTTGAACAGCAGGGATAGGGAAGATGTTTCAGTCGAATAGAACAAATTGAGCACATGCATAGAATCAGGGAAGGAGAGAGTTCAGTTTGGAGAAGTACCAGAGATGAAACATGGCAAATAAGCATGGAGGGTGTGAAATGCAGGAATAAGAAGTTTAGTCTTTATTAGGGACACAGCTCCGGACAAGCCTGCCAGAACTCTGAAGGAGGGATTAGGGGAGGCAGAGTAGGAGACGGTGGCAGGGGGCAGGGGAAGCCATAGCCTTACTCCTGAGAAGGAGCAGTGAGGCCCAGCCGAGGCAGTGGATGTGAGAATGACATGGAGGGAATGTTGGAGGATGGGCCTGCGTACGGGTTAGGATCTGGAATTCATTGAGAGATGTGCTCCACGGCTGGATGGCAACAGTGGGATAAGGGATGACTCTTGCGTGTTGAATGAGTGAGGAGGGTGGGAGGGAGGGCTTTGTAGGAAGGATGAGCATTGTAGGGAGCAGAGCTGGCTCCATACTCAGGTTCTTGGGGCCGCCTGCAAGTGTCCTTGCAAGGAGAGGGAAATGTGGACCTGGAGGTGGGGACTGTGATGGGACTTGCATGTCTCACTCACCTGTCTCACTGCCAGGGTCGGCAATGACAGTGGAAACCTAGGCGTGCTTGCTGTTGTAGGTTACTCATCAGCATGGCCTTCTCTTTGTCCCTGTTCCTTCCTGTCATCCCTAAGACCTTGCCTTAAACCACGCCTTTCAGCATCTAAAAATTTAATGCTTAAGGCTGAGCTTAGCAAGTTATAGTTGATGACATCATACCTTGGAGGAAGGCCAGGTATATGAGAAATGTTGAGTTATCTAGTCCTATGATAAAAATTCCCTAAAAAAGTTATTTCTGAAATGACACTCATGAGTTGATCATTTATTTGGCAGAATTGGCTGTTGATGCAGACATTATTACACAGCTTACCAGTGTTTTCCAAGTAAATTTCTGTTTCTAATGGGAAAATTTAGGCCAGGTGCGATGGCTCATGCCTGTAATCTCAGCATTTTGGGAGGCCGAGGTGGGCGGATTGCTTAAGTCCAGGAGTTCAAGGCTAGCCTGAGCAACACAGTGAAACCCTGTCTACAAAAAATACAAAAAAAATTAGGCGAGCATGGTGGCCAGTGCCAATAGTCCCATCTACTCAGGAGGCTAAGGTGGGAGGATCACTTGAGCTCAGGATGTTGAGGCTGAAGTGAGCCATGGTCATACCACTGCCCTCCAACCTGGGTGACACAGTGAGACCCTGTCTCAAAAAAAAAGGAAAAAAAAGTATGCTGAATAGTGTATAGAAATCGGATCTAATATTGCCTTAAAAATGGTGCCGTTTTATCTTCCTATTTAAGGTAATTATACTAAAAATAGAACTTTCCTTTGCTCGATGGTACAAATGAATACATAAGGTCCTCAAGTCCGTCCTCTTGTCCCTCTTGTTTTCTGGGACTGTAATCGAGGAGCGCAGAGTGTCACAGAAGCCACAGGGGACCAGCAGTGGGACTGGCCATTGGGTTGATTCAGGGAAGTCGTCCAAACCCAGGAAGTGCGAAAGTGGGTTTCGAGCTCATTTTCTACGTGAGGGAGGGAATCTTTTCAGGCTCTGGACTCTGAAGGCTATTCCTGACTGAAGCTTCACATCTTGAGTTGACTCGCATTTGAACTGCTGTCATGGAGACTTGCTTGCTCTGCGTGTGCCTGTTGGTTAGGAGGCTTTGATTTCACCCAGTTTAATCCATGTGGACAATATGTGTCCCCAGTCTCTTGCCTTCTTGGTTCTGGGAGAAGAATGGGGGCACCAAGGTTCTTGGCCTTCCTTTTCCCTTTTATCTCCTTTCCCTAGCAGCAGCCCCCAACACACACCCTTACTCCCACACTTTCAGTCACCCACACCGATCCCCCACAATCACACACTCACAATCATGCTATCCCCCTTACACAGTCACACCCTCACACACCGTCACATACTGTCACATACAGTCACACCCAGTCACTCACATCCACACTCTCACAACCACACTCACACCCTATGCAATCACATTCATATCCACACTCACCCTAACTCACACCCCCACCCACATTCATATCCGCACTCACAGTCACCCATACACAATCACTCATTCACACACCCACATCCTACAATCACACCCTCACACCCACACACACCCGTAGCACAATCACTCACATTCACACAGTCACATCCACACTCACCCCAACTCACATCCACACACGCACTCACACTCTCAAACACACACAATTACTCACATGCTCCTTCACACACCTACACAATCACTCATACCCACATTCACACACACCCTCATTCATATGCATTCACTCTTAAGCACACAGTCATACACACAAGCACACCTTACACACCCTCAGTCATACACACTTGTACACACTCATTGACACACACACCCCCTCCCCAACACACACACATTTATTTTCTCATTCACACTCAGCATTCACTCGTGTGCCTTTGCAGCAGACAGAAGACTCTGCCTTTGTTTCCCCTGCTCAGAGCTTGCCATGGGGCCTGGGGCCCAGAGCATCGACTCCCGCACAGCCCAGCTTATGGGTGGAGCTGTTATTGAGAGTTGGAAGTGAGGGTTTCCTTTTTTATTTCCAGGCTTTTGATGTAATTCTGTCATTGACTGTTTTGATACATTTTTTCTTCACTGTAATGATTATCTTTTTACAAACTTGATAGCATAACAATGTAAGATTGCTACTGTGAAAAATATACAGACCTAGACTTTTCATTAGTTCTGTATTCATTTGTAAGATTAAATTATTACAAAGAAAGTATGACTGAATGAGGCACAGTATGTGGACCAGCTGGGTTTTAGGTGGAGGTAAATCATGATCAAATGTTCTAACATCCTTGCTGTCCTTACTTTAGATTCATAAGGAACCTGAATAAGAATCTCCTTTTTGTTTTTGTTTTTTAGATTCAGAATATGAACAACATAATCTCCTTCCCTTTGGACAGTTTGCTGAAGGGGGACCTGAAAGGAGTGAAAGGGGTATGACATTGCCACTGTGACACTGGGGGCAGCTTTTGGACCATGTAGGGTCACAGTAACTTGGCCTGTGGGGCAGCGGCCACGTCAGTGCATTCTCATTGGGACGAAAGGATGGCTTTTTTATTTCCGCTTCCTCTGATTTGCCATCTTGGGATCACCTTTCAGCCAGAACGGTGGTGACTTTTGGCCTTTCTGGCCATCCTTTCGGTGCAACAGACTTGCTGTGAGGGGAGGAGACTGGGAAGGGAAAGAAGAAATTGCTATTTTGGACATGGTGAAGAGTTTCAGTCTCTCCAAGGAGCAGGAAAACCTGTGGGAGAAGTCAGGCTTTCTAGCTGGCATGCTGTCCGTTTACCACTGGGAAAGGGTCCAGGCAAGGGGGTATTTTCCTGCTGAGAAGGTTGCACTCATCAGGCATGAGCCTGCTTCATTTCTCTGTCCTTCAGAGGATGTTGGCTGTTTAAGATATGCCTAGCCAGTGTAAGCATGCAAGCCGGAAGCTGTTTCAGGGGCAGTGGACAGGGCTAGAGGGGCACTTGCTTATGAGCATGAAGGCTGGGAGCTGTTTCAGGGGGCAGCGGATAGGGCTACAGGGGCATTTACTGGGCAGCATGCTGCTTGTGCACGTTGCCAGCCCTGACAGATGTGTGCCACGAAAGGGACATGATTGTGGCTGCCTTCTCAGGAGACTCAAATTCTTTGGATCTGCACATGATTCCCGGGTCCCATCAGGGATGACTGGAAATCCAGTCTAACCCATCTCTGGGACCTCTACAGAGGCCTCTCAGGGTCTCCACAGAGTGTACCCAGAGAGAGCTGTTCAGACACATTCCCCATCGAGCCTTCAGAGGCTTGGAGAACAGGTCAGTGGAGTTAGCCCAACTCACGGGCGGGAAGGCACCCCAGGCAGAGGCAAGGTGAGAGCACGCACAGGGAGCAGGGCTCCGCGCTACATGCCAGGCTGCCAGGGCACAGGAGGAGCCAGTTCGTGCAGGGACTTGTATGCCCGATTGTGGCACTTGGGCCTTACCTGAGGCCATTGAAAAGCCAACAAGTAGTAAACAGCAACAACATCAAAAAGATTTCTGTCTCCCTGAAGAACCCTTTTGAAGGGAGTGTAAATAGGTAGGGACCATTCGATAGAATTTCCAGTAGTTTTTTGAGGCAGGCCTTACCAGAGTGTATGAAGTCCTGAATTGCAGATGGAAGACCAGTAGGAGACCCCAGGAGGATGTGTGGGACCTTTCTATTTCTGTCGTCAGGTTTAAAACAGCGTTAGATGTGTTGAGATTCATCTATCAATTAGAGTTCCTTTCTTTTAGAGAGACATCCTGAAATATTTGCAGTTTAAATGTTGTCTTTCAGGGTTTACTTTCAGATTAAGCCCAGGGCAGGGAGTAGGGCACAGGTGACACAGGTGGCCTGGGAGTGTCATAACTGGTTGGCAGCACCTTTTGTGTGCATTTAGTATATTACATGATATTTTAAAAAGAGAAAGAAAAGCAATGCCACCACTAGTCTACTTAAAAGCAGGGTTTTATATTTTTCATGAGATTACATAACGTCATTTATTGCAGAAATTAATGCTCCTTTCAGGGCCAGTACAGGGATAAGTAAGTTTATCTTGCATAGAAGTGAATGATTAGTCTTGCCTAAGTTATTCCTCTTTGTTTGCAGGATCTGAAAAAGCCTTTTGATAAAGCTTGGAAGGACTATGAAACAAAAATGTGAGTGTTCTCATTTTTTAAATTACATATAGGTAATTTGAGATTTCAAATTTAAACCAAGCTTTTATTGCTTAAAGGGATTGTCTAACTAAACCTTAATCCAGAAAAGAATTTTTATCAATCCTGTTGCTGTGGTTTGTTTTGATGACAGATGTGTTTGGTGGCACTGTCTTCTTTTAATCTGTCTTCCCCTGTTCCTTTTTCTATGATGTCATAGTGGTTATAGGATGTTATTTTCAGGAAAGTTCACTGAGGGAAGTTGAGACCAATTTCTCTCAGGAGGTATTTCTTTCTGTTTTTGTTTTTAAACACTTTGTCCGTTTCATTACCATTTTTGATAGCAAGGCAGTTTTCAAACTTCATCTTCCTACTTAGCTTTGTATCTGTGTTTCTCTGAAATACCAGTTCTCTTGGTTTTAGAAAGAGAGTTCAATACCCATCTCCTTCAGATTCATCTGCCAAAAAAGAACCTGAAGAATGGGGAGTTGATTCTGATGTGAACTATGGTTTCTACAAGAAATAGAGCTGGTTGCCTGACCTGAAGTCAACCAATAGACCAGACTCTGTTAGTTGACTTCAGGCAGTTGTAACTTTCCCAATCACAGTTTCTCATCCCTAGAATAGAGAGAGTGGAGCTACAGGAAATTGATCAAGCAAGTAATTACAGGGGAAATAATGGCTTTAATTATTTTAAATATTGGAAAGATATGAAATATGGTAATGTTTAGTTTGTAATCTCTGTGCCTTGGGTAATATTGAGTTTTCTGATTGGAAATAGAAACTTTCATATGAAGCTATCTGGTAAAGTAAAAGGTATTAAGAGGAAGTCATTTTGAATCTAAGTACAAACATTTCATTAAGTTGTTTGGTTTAAAAAAAAAACAAAACAAAAAACTAGCCCTGGATATCTTTTCAGTGGTGAAGAATCACAAAGCCCAAACCAGTGAGCACCACACCTTTGGTACTTCTTCTGTCCTTGGCAATCTTACATTTCCATACCTGAGGTTCTTACATTTCCATACCTGAGTTCTGGAGTTTCATTGATGGTGTACATTCATTCCGAAGCACAGGCAGAGTGTTGACTAGAGAACCCTGCAGGTCCGTTCAGCCCAGGGAGGCCCCCAACCCGGGATCCCTTGTCCATCAGCATCCTTTATCCATGTGCCAGTTGGGTGAAATAAATGGGAAGGAACCAGCAGATTCCTGCTTTGCAGAGGGAAAACCAAGAGTCAGTGGTTTCTGCTGGTCAGCCAGTAAGAGTAATTGAGCCAGGCCAGGAAGCAGGTTTCCAACTTCCCTCAGCTGCACTTGCTGCCCCTCACCGTGGCTGATAGGAAATGGTCCTGTGCGTGACTAGACCAAGGGCAGAAAGGGCTTTCTGAAGAAGAGTACCTGAGAGAGTCATCTGGTTCTGGAAAGAAGAGGTTTGGAAGGAGGATAATATCAAATTCTGTAAAACTGAGACACACATGGGTAGGATGGGGACAGAATTCCTCACAAAACCCTAGAATTTAGGAGGAGGGATCAGCACCCTTTAAACTTCAAGTAATTGTAGGATAATTAAAGGAAGTAATTCTTTACTATTAATGTGGGAGAATCATTTCTCTCAAGAGGTTTTGTGGTATTTAACAATAATAATAGGTTTTAGATATCTTTAAAATTCCTGGGCAGTAGTCCCATACCTGATTATTAAGAGAAATGACCAGTGTCTAGGCTGTGTCTTGCCTGTGAAGAGGTATGAGGGACACCTTGGGGTTGTATAATTCTAGTCCCAGGGCCCCTCCAATTATACTCCCTCCCAGATGCATAAACTCATTAAACAACATCATCCCTCCCAGAGGGTCTCCTGTGTGTTTATTTTTCACTCATATGTTCCTTCAGATCATTGAGAACCTACTGTGTGTCCTGTGTGCACTGTGCAGGACACACGGAGAAATTACATTTCTTGTCTCTTCCAAAACACTCTAGTCCTCCTCGCCCTAATGATGGGGAGCCCTCTGGAACCCCAGGGAGGTCTCTGGAAACCTGAGTAGCCCATTTCATCACTGAACACCTTTGAAAGAACATGCGCCCTTGGGTCTTGTAGTGTCTACTTTGAGGCTCTACAGAAAGCTCTTCCTCCCTTGTCTTCATGGCAGCTCTATCTGTTTTTTGAGTGCTTTCTATTGGTTTTTAATCTAGTCTCCTTTTCTCCAGAATAACCATTCACACTATTTCAAGCCCATCTTAGCAGACATGATTTTGTGGCTCCTTTTTACCCTGGTGGCTCTTCTTTGGATGTGCAGGTGGGTTAGTTTTTACCTTGAACTGCACACTGGACATTTAGGAATACAGGTCAGGCATGAGATGACGGTGCAAAGGATAATTAAGCCGACAGCATAGAAAGGTGGTGGTCATCTACAGTGATGAGCAGTGATATAGGTCAAGGCAGAGAACTGGCGTGGCTTCACTGAGTGAGGAAGTGACGACAGAGGCTAGAGAGGAAAGTCCAGGAAGAGAAACGGTGGGGAGTGAAGTCAGGCGGTGCCCTTGGGCTACTAGATGGCAGGCAGGCTCCGAATGCTGACCCTGAAGGAACCCTCCAAGCCCTATGCAGACCTTCAACCTCCTCTGACCCATACCTGACTTAAAGCAGGTGCTTAGGAAGTACTTGTTGAGTAAGTCGTGGGAAGCCCCAGCTTGACATCTTCATGAGGACATCCATTTTCCTTTTGAGGGACTTGACAGGCTGTCTGTGCTGAAACGTGTGGTGAGCATTGGTCTCAGCAGGATGGGTACTGGGGTGGCTTCAAGGCTGTCCCTTTGATTTCCGTGCCAGGAGGCATCTTGATTTATCTTTGCTTTCACACATAGAACCAAGATAGAAAAAGAGAAAAAGGAACATGCCAAGCTTCATGGGATGATTCGGACTGAAATAAGCGGGGCGGAAATTGCTGAAGAGATGGAAAAGGAGAGGCGCTTCTTCCAGCTACAGATGTGTGAGGTAAGGCACTGGCAAAGGTGGTCCTGCAGCCCAGGCTGGGCGGGCTCTGCCTTCACCTGTGGGAGCGTCTCACTGATAGCAGCGGCTTCAGCGGAAACGCCACATGCATTCTTGGGCTCCTTTTGCCCCTGTGTTGATATTTCTTTTACTAGGAAAGTCTTAGTCTCCTTTGGATGTACTCTAAATTAATCCACTCATGAGGGTGAAACCCTCACGACCCAGTCACCTCCCAAACGTTCTACCTCTCAATACTACTGCATTGGGACCAAGTTGCCATCACATGAACTTTAGGGGACACATTCAAACCTTATCACCACTCCAGCTCTTTTGGTTACTGTTTTCACCCTTTTACATTCAACCTGTGTACATCTTTGAATCCGAAGTGTGTCTCTTGTAGATTTTATATATATAGCTGGACCACGTTTTTCTTATCAGTTTGACGATCTCTGCCTTTCCACTGGATTGTTTAATACATTAACATTGAATGTTACTATTGATACAATTGGATTTACTTGTGTTCTTTTACTTTCTTTTTTGTGTCTGGTTTCTTTTGCTCCTTTATCCTTTACTGTTGTGTTTTTCATTGAGCAAATGTTAAAAGATACTCACTTGATGAAAAACAAGTAAATATTTTAAAATACTCACTTGATGAAACTAATTCTCGAGATAAAGCCTTTAACTAAAAGGGTTCCTGTAGACAGGAGGATGGATGTTTTTATGCACATTTTTTTTGTAAACACATACCATGTATAGTATAATAGGTTGCATTCTCAAAAGAAAAATACATCTCATGTCTAATCCCACCTTCCTGGCCTGCCTCATAGAGTGGCAGAGAAATCTGGGAGACAGCATGAGACAGGGACTAGGAAACTACTGCGTGTTATACAAACACAAAGTATTGTCTGTCTGTCTCTGTCTCTCTCTCTCTCTCTCTGTGTGTGTCTCTCTGTCTTTCTTTCCTTTCCCTTGTCTTTCTCTCTCTCTCTTTCTTTCCTTTCTTTCATCCACCTCCTTCTGTACGGGTTTTGTGTCTTGTTAAGAACTGTAGTAGAGTTTTACAAATAATCAGGGTGAAATTAAGTAATAGTGTTTTACAAAGAATGAATTTGGAAAGGGTATTTGTATGTGTTCAGCTCTTTTTGGTTAGTAAGGTTGAAATCTATTTACCTAAACACTTTAAGACTACTTAAAATGCTTACTGAATTTTGAAATTCAAGTAGCATGTTAAGGTCATAGCCATGACTTGAGGAGTGACTGGGTCCCCACTTGGCTCTGTCATTGCTTCCTGTAGTACGCACCTTACACTGGTTACTCCTTCTCTTCTGTGTCCAGGTGAATTGATCCTGTGAACTGATTAAATCATTTATTTTAATGGAAATACACTGTGTAGATGATACCTCTAAGTCATAGACTTGAGCCATCTTTTGAGCAATCCTCAGGTAGTGCTGGGTCCCTGGCTCTGCAGAGCTGTCACTTGGAGGGGTCAGGCACTGATGTTTCACATGTGAGTGAGAGATGGGCTGTATGCATGCATAAAGGTGGAGGTGGGCTTATCTACCAGTGAACTCACAGTTTACACAGGAGAAAACAATCTGATGAAAAATATAGACGTTAACCAGATAGTCATGGGCTGTGAAGGCCTTGCCATAGATAAGAAAGAGCATTTGAAAAGCAGTTCCATGAGAACCCAACTCTGAAGGAAATTAGATTGCCTCCATTAAAATCATGTTAAAAAGCCAAGCATGGTGGCTCATACCTGTAATCCCAGCACTTTGGGAGGCTGAGGTGGGAGGATTGATTGCTTGAGTCCAGGAGTTTAAGACCAGCCTGGGCAACGTGGTAAGACCCTGTCTCTACCAAAAAACAAACAAAAAACCACAAAACCCAAAAAACAAAAACACATGACTTTAAAATTATTCGACTGTTTCCTCAAACTGAAGTTCTCAAGCTTTAAGTGCTTACTGTTGTTTGGGTGTTTACAATTTTAGTTGCCCAGGATCTAATCTAGAAGAGTAGCTTTCTGGCTTTTATTTTAAAGCTGTGGAGCCTTTTCTTCAAAATTAATAAAGAAATTCAGTATGTCAAATAGCTAATACAGACCCTCTGTGAGTGGAGAAGGTGTGAGAGATCCTCTGTTACTGATTGTAAAAATAGTATATACTTTTTAAGAAAATTGGTTAATATAAGAAAATATATATAAAAGGAATTTTAAAATGCCCCCTAATTTTTTTTGACTTACCCAAAGATGAGCACTTCGACATTTAACTAAACATCTTTTATATGTCCCTATGTATACATTAAAAAAAAATATATATATATATATATATAAGTAGGTCTTTCTCTGCTGATGCTTTATAACCTGATTATTTTCACTCTCTAGTATGTTGAAGTCCATGTCAGAAAAACGTAGGTTTTATTGGCTTAGTGGCTGGACAATATTTTCTGTATGGATGCACCATATGTTAATTTCCACTCATTAAATTTGGGCTGTTGCCATTGTTTACTTTTATAATCAAGATAGCAGTGTATCTTCTTTTCTGCTCATGTTTTTTAAACTTTTATGGTTATCTTCTTAAAATAAATTCCTGGGAGTAGAATTTCTAGGTCAAAATGTACATATGTTTAAAAATTTGATACATTGCCAAATATTTAATAAATATCAAAAAGAAAGAGGGACAGGAGGACCTATAGGTAGTTGTTATAGGCAGAAGGACAATTTGTAGCTTAAAGTTTCACAGCAGCTTTCCACCTCTTTCTTGGGCTGCAGAGAGACCTCAGTGAGCATCTGAATTGGGTATCCCTACCCCAGCCCCGCCCATCCTTTACAGCTGAGAGCCCGTGCACAAATCAGCAGCTTTTCCAGGGGGCATTCCATCTCAGAGATCATCTCCTGATAGCGGAGGGGATGGGGACTCATGAAGCCCTTCTATTTCCTGACACTGGTATTATAGCTCCCTGAGGCTTTCCGATATCTTTGTGGTCACTAATGAATTCTCCAAGTTAAAAATGGCTTTAATTCATTTCAATTAAACTTTGTGTTTTCCTAACAATCACATTATTTTAAGTGTAAAAGAAATGTCTCAGGACCAAAGACACGATGCCAAGCATCTCAGCTATAAAACGTTAGCAGTTAGTGTTCTTAAAGAAAGGGACTTTGGGCAGAAACATGTTCCAGATGGCTGGAAATCCCATTTATTTGAACCATCCACATTCTTCTATGCAGCTAGAGTGAAGATTTCTCCTAGCAGGCTAAGATAAACTGTCTTATTACTAGGAGTTTTTGGCACTTAAATATTTAATTATTTGACCATCAGATAATTCATATGGCTCCAAACTAAAAGAAACAGTTATGGAATCTAGGAGATACTAAGCGTCGATCGTAAGCTCTACCCATTGCAAAAGATGTCAAAGAAGTAGAAGAGATCATCTCAGTCCTCAGAAGCTCCTTTTAAACTCACATTCTGCTTATTTCTGTGACATTTCCTTTTCATTTTTCAACAGTATCTGCTGAAGGTCAATGAAATCAAGATTAAAAAGGGAGTGGATTTACTTCAGAATCTGATCAAATATTTTCATGCCCAATGCAAGTAAGTTCTTCGTTATGATGTTATCTTAAATGTTTCTTTATGTTTGGCAACTTCTGGTAGATCTATAGGTAGCTTATAGGGAATAAACACTCACGTAGATGTCTGTAGTAAAGAGAATGAGGCGCTGACACATGTGACAACACTGGGGAACCTTGAGAACATGTTTAGTGAAGGAAGCCAGACACAAGAGGCCAGGTACTGTATGATTCCATGTCTTTGGAAGGTCAGGAATAGGTGCGTGCACAGAAAGCAGATGAATGATTGCCACAGCTTGGAGGAAAAAGGGAATGGGAAATGACTGCTAATGGGTATAGAGTTTCTTTGCGGGATATTGAAAATATTCTGGAAGTGAGTGCTAATGATTGCGCACCTTTGCGAATTTACTAAAAGTCACTTTAAAAAGATGATTTTTATGGTTTGGGGATTATATCTTAATTAAAAATAAAAGTTTATATACAATATAGAAAATCAACAGTAATTGCCACCAGAGAGTACGTGGAACACAATGGGTACTCGGCTGTTTCTTGAGTGAGCTGCAGGCCTCTTTGAGTAGACGTGAATCTGATATCTAAAGTATGAGTAGGAGCCAGCACATAAGGAGTAGGGGAAGAACATTCCAAGCAGGGTCTACGTCTTAAGGCAGGAAAAAAGGCCAAGGTGATGTAAGCTCGGTGAAAAGGAGAAACTGCATAGAAAAGCCTTAGAGATGTGGACGGCCCCAGACGTCTTTCAAAAGGTTTTAGATTTGATCCCAAATGTGTTGGGAAGCTCTTGAAGAGACTGAAGCGGAGGATCGTTTGTATGCACTCCTGTGGTGTGCCAGGCACTGATGTAGTAAGGAGGAAACAAACTTCTTTCCCTTACCACCCTGGGGTCTCATGGAGGAGGCACGTAGGAAACATAGGAGCCAATATTTAACTGAGTTTATGAAAAGGCAAAATAGTGATGAGGAGAGAGACAGTGGTGTTGGTTAGAAGTGGCCTCTGGAAGCTTCTCAACTATAACAAGTTTACTCTGTGTATTGTGGAGAAGGAACCAGATGGGACAAGGGTGGATATGGGCAATTGCTTCGGTACACAGTTCCTGTCCCTGTGCAGCCCAGAGAGGACGATGGCCCAGCTGGACTCGTGACAGCAGGACTGGAAGGTGTGGACTGACGAGAAATCTTTTCCTTGTGGAATTGCCACACCTGGCTGCTTACCTTCCCAGAGCAGGCTGTGTCGCCGGTGGCCTACCTTTGTACACAATTGTTTCTTTTCCTAGAAGGCCTCTTTCCTCTGTGCCCTCCCTGTCTTCTGTTCCTCTTAGAACCCAGCTCATGGATCATTCCTGCTTTGCAATGCTTCTTCCCTTTGGAATTCCTTTTCTTCCTCCTGTGTCACCACCACCTCCTCTGCTTGTCTCCATGATGACATCTTCTTGTGTCTCTGTGCCACTGAACTATACACTCTTAAGGAAGGGGCCGTGTCATTGTTTTATATCTGCGGTGTGGCACATTCACCTGGCACATACTTGCAGCAGGGAATTGCACTGTGGAATTGAACTGAGCTCCGCTTTGGATTTCTTATTACAGCTTCGATGATGCTGCATTTCTAAAGCACTTGAGGTCGGGCAGCAAAGGAGGATGTGCGGAGTGGTTCATCCAAAGTTAAAAGAGAGCTCCGGCCATTAAAAAAAAAAAAGTGAAATAATGTGTTTTGCAGCAACAGAGTTAGAACTGGAGGTGATTATCTTAAGTGCATCATGCCAGCCATAGAAAGACAAATATCACATGTTCTCACTCCTAAGTGGATGCTGAAAAAGGCATACCCATGGATACAGACTGGAGTGACAACAGATTCTCAGGAGGGTGAGGGGAGTGGGGAGGGTGAGAAATTATTAATACTTAATAGGTACAAGTATGTTATTCTGGTGACGGATACCCCAAAAGCCCTAATTTGACCACCAGGCCTGTGACAAAACTACACTTGTACCCCATGAATTTATATTAAAAAATTTTAAAAGAGAGCTCCAAGCTTAGAAAAACATCCTTAGAAGGTGGAAAAGACCTTGAAATTGTTCAATTTTCAAGATGAATTATTTTATGGAGACTCAAAATTCTAACTCTGTGATGAGCATGCAGATTACTTCTTCAGTTCTCATGTCAGGCAATTTAGGAAGTGGGTCGCTTCCTTGCTGATATTTTATTTTTAAGAAGAAGTTATTCTGGGATTTCCTCTCCCCCCACCCACCGCCCTTTATTTTGCCCAAACCAATCAGTTGGGTAGCAACAGACCACTTGTGGAAAAGTGAAGTAGATGGCCTTTTATGGACATGAGCTCAGTAACCTTTAAAAATACGAATCTTCCATTACTTCGTTTTTGGATATGAGAGAGAGTGTGTAGGCTGCCTGCTCTTCAAATCAGTCAAGCAGCTTTGACTCTCTTGATTCACATTCCGGAAGATACAGCGTAGAACCCAAGCCACTCAGCTACAGGATGAGAGGAGCTCGCAACCGAGTGTGTTTCCACGTGTGGGAGTGCCTCATTCCCCCATCGCACACGCCCAGTCTCCGTTTCTCGCCCCCAAAGCTGTGCCTGGTGGGTGCTGTGCCCTGCTGGGCAGACGTGAGCCTCTGCACACTGCTGTGCTCCCCCAGGGAGAAGAGGCCACTATGTAAACGAGATTCCAGGGCTCAGGTTTGGCTGTTGACCCGCGGAACTATTCAGATATGCGTTATTTTGATTTTTCTTCATTTTTCTTTTCACTTTAAGTGTTCTTAAAGAATACTTCATGTTCTTTGATTTTTATTTCAGTTAAGGAAGGAAGTTTCATCTCAAGATATTCCTGGAATATCTTGAAAATTTGTCTTATTTGCCTTTGCTGCTGAACATTGAAAATCCTGTACTTGAGTGGAATCCAGAGGTAGGGCATTATAACATCATAAAACAAAGACAGCCGTGGTTTGGCTGGGTGTGCTGGCTCATGCCTGTAATCCCGCCACTTTGGGAGGCCGAGGCAGGCGGATACCTGAGGTCAGGAGTTCAAGACCAGTCTGACCAACATGGTGAAACCTCTTCTCTACTAAAAATACAAAAATTGGCCGGATGTGGTGGTGCACGCCCGTAGTCCCAGCTACATTGGGAGACTGAGACTGGAGAATTGCTTGAACCCAGGAGGTGGAGGTTTGCAATGAGTCGAGATCGTGCCACTGCACACAAGACTGTGTCTCCAAAGTAAAAAATAATAATAAAAAAAAAAGACATCCATGTTTTGGAAGGTGGTGATGAGTGTTGCGTTGTCTTGTTCTTTGAGCCAATACCTGCTGGAAACCACTGTGACCAGTGTTGCTCAGTGAAGTTGGGGTGCGTGGCTGAGATGAGGCTCAGCCCCAGATGCTGCAGAAGCTCGTAGAGGAGGGAGGCGCAGGTGTTACAGGCAGACCCCGTTGGCAGACACTGCATTGGGCTGTGGTGGTGTGAAGGCTATGGGAGGGACCCCAGCACTGTGCACAAGCCCAGAGAAGGAAGGGGCTGCTCTGCTTGGGTGGGCTTGATGATTACCTGCAAGTGGGCATATTTTAAAGGCTAGAAATGCGCCCTTTCTAGCCTGGTGAGGCAAGTTAGAAAATGTTTAATAGACCACAAAATTTGGTTGGGTAATGTTGATGGTAAAAGTTCTGTGAAGCTTGGAAAAGTGTTAACGGGCTCAACTTAAGAAAATTTGCTGGGACCATGTACTTAGGACTGTCACAGTGACAGCAGCCAGTGGAGAGGGAATAGTGCCCCTTTTCTTGAAGCTTCCCCTGACGCCAGGGCTGATTGCACTTTGAATGGGTGTCTGGGTGCCAAGGCATGCCTCAATCAGGGTACAGGAAGGTCAGTGCTTTGAAGAATCAAAGGAGTCTTTCCAGGTAGGTGGATAGTGAAGATTGGCTGGGCTATTACAAAGATGAAATAGAAATAGAAATCAAAATTCATATTGTTATTCCAAGTACATCAGTCAATGTCATGCTGGAAACAGTGTTGTGACAAGAAACAAGTCTCTGAGCACTTGATCCACTACAGGGCTCATGCTCACGCTCATGCTTGTGTGTGCTTTCTCTTGTGCACACATGCTCTCCCTCTCTCTCTGTCTCTCTCTGTCTCTCTCTCTCTCTCTGTCTCTCTCTGTCTGTCTCTCTCTCTCTCTCTCTCTCTCTCTCTCTCTCTGTGTGTCTCTCTCTTGCGCTCTCTCTGTCTCTCTCATGCGCTCTCTCCCCGTCTCCCCCTCTGCCTCTTCCCCTCTCTCTGTCTTTCCATGGGGAGAGTCGCCAGGTCACAAAAGTTCTTGGAGCTGTACACCTGCTCCCTCTCCCTGGGGTGGTTTTCCGTTTATCACCTGTAATATTTTTTTTACTCCTTATCTTAGATCTTAAAGATCTTGTTCCTCCTATTTCACAAGAATATGAAGTGATTAAGAAAATAGTTACTAAAGTAAAACATGTAAACAAAATATAAGACTCAGAAGAGTTCAGAAACATATTCTGTATTCAGAAAAAAACCAGTATACAGGAACAAACATATAAAGAATTGTGTGTCTATCTAAAGATGAATGAGAACATTCCAGCCGCCTGACCTCTGTGACTCCTAATAAACGCTGTTCAGGGTTCATGCCCCACAGCCTTTGTCCCTCTCCTTCCTCCTTGGAGTTGCTGCATTAAGTGCCACACTGCAGTGTTTCACAGCACCTTCTGTGTGTGACACACTTGATCTGGGAAATGCCCACAGAGCTACCGCTGAGTTTAAAAGAAGTAAACATCACCTCACATGACACATGTGAAACCCAGATCACTTTTTAGATAGTCTCCTTGGTATCCAATAAACTGGCTAAAGTTGGTGACAGTCCATCCTGCATTAACTCATTTATTCATTCAGTAAATGGCCTGTGCTTGAAATACGCCAAACTTTGTGGGTTCTTTGTACCACCTAGAACTTCAGATCTAATGAGTGAATTCTGTTTTAAACAATCACACTAAAGAATACATAATTGCAGTTGCAGCAAGTGTTTTGAAGCAAAATGCTCTGAAAGAGTATAACAAGGCCTCTTATAGGGGATTGTCTTGTAGGGGATTAAGGAAGGCCTTGCCAACCAGGGGATGTTTAACCTGAAACTTGAAGAATGAGTGGGAATCAGCCAGGTGAAGCCAATACACCTTAAGAGAAGCCTTTAGAGAGAAGAAATGGAATGCAGAGGGCCTGGGGCAGGAGAACTTGGTGGTCATGGAGGGAGCGAGAAAAAGCCGATGTGTCTGGAACCGAGTGAATGAAGTGAAGTGGGTGGAACGGTGTGGGTTGAGGCTGGAGCTGCAGGCCCTGGCCATATCACATGGGCCCTGGAGGCCTCATTACAGGTTAGCACTTTTCTCCTTAGTTCCTGGAAATGTCCTTTCTTCATTCCTCTCAAAAGAATTACACACAGCACCCTCCAGAGGCAGCACTGAACGCCAGCCCATGGCTGCAGTAGAAAAACGACCAGCTTCTGTTGTATTTCTTGACTCACTTGTTATAGGTGACCTAATGGCATTGAGTTCTCAGCCTTAACAAAAATGCTCTTGATATTTTATCTCAAGTTCTCTATACACGATTTCCCACCCCACAGATACAGAGTGTGGCCACCAAAGCTGCTTGGTTCTTTTCTACATTCTCTCTCTCTCTCTCTCTCTCTCTCTCTCTCTCTCTCTCTCTCTCTCCCCCCCCCCC